GACGTTTTGCAGTATAACGCCGCTGCAATCTGTGCCTGCGCGTTCGTTCGGGGTTCCACGAGAAACGTAGTGGACGAAGGGAGATCAAGTCCGGCAAAGCATGGGACATGTCGAACAGATCGAGGTGGGACGGTAATAGTTGCGGCCACCGTCGTGAGCCCGACCGGGTGTGAAGTAGGTACGGAGCCGTCCAGAGGCTCGAGAGATAGAATTCGCTGTCCGTCGGACAGTGTCAGGGTATTGTCCTTGAGGTTGATGATAGCCCCCAAGTAACGGAGCAAGTCGAGGCCGACGATGCAGTCTGTCAGCGACGTAGACATGACACAAAAGGGAAAAGACACATTGGCGCCAGCGAGGTGAAACGAGAATTTTGCGCGGCCCAAAATGTCGAGATTCGAGTTGTCTGCAGTGACAAAACCCAGACGAGGTTGTTTGTGTGGGGGCGAGACAATGCCAAAATGACGCACTGATGAAACATTGGTTGCTCCAGTGTCAATGAGAACCGTTGCTTGTACTCGGTCGATGTACGCTTTGACGAAAGGGTTCGTCGCCGTCTGTATCCGTGTGTCGGTCACAGCGATAAGGCGAGATGAAGGTGTACAGTCGTTGAACAGGTCGTTACAATAGGTCGGGTCTAGTTTTGATGAGCGACGATGGTAGTTTCGGGTCCCCTGTAAATGAATGCGTTGTCGAGCCACACTGGACTGGGAGGACTTGTCTGATGGGTAGTCTAGGGGTAGTTCGTTCCAGGAAGCGATAGATGGATTGGACGAGATTGTTGGACGTGAGATCGGAGTCGTCCAATTAGGCGACGTGCGTGCCAGAGGTGTTGAAGCCTTTGGCATCGTTGTAGAAGGTGAATTATCAGGCACCGCGTATAGTCAAGGCGAATCGTCAAACTCGTCGCCGGCCTCACATAGCACGTCGTAAGGATTAGGGTCGACCCATTGTATGTGAGCGACCGCCTCGGATGTTTTGAAGTCGCGATTGGCACGTTTGGCATCACCACACTTATTGAGCGTGTCAGCGAACCAGGCATACCATTTGGCTTCGTCCTCGATGTCTGCCGGGGCCAGAAGTAGGTGGGCATCCGACGGAAAGAGGTTGAGAGTTTTGAGTATCTTGTCCTGTGCAGGGTTCTTGCGACGTTTGCGGATGCGATCAGTTTGTATGCGGACGTCAGCTGTAGTAATCGGGTAAAGTCGATCCTCGATTTCCTTGGAATATTCCTCCTCGTATATTTCAGGGTACGACGAAAGAAGGTTGTTGACTTCAGTGTCCGAGAAGACTGGGCGTGCAGGTTGGTCGTCCGCGCTGTTGCGAATCTGGTTGCGAGAAGTCGATGAAGCAACCGTCGAATCGAGTGATGGTGCTTGAATAGGAGCCGTAGACTCGTCATAAACAGACTTGGCCAGACAAACGTGGTTCGTCGGCGTGGGTCTTGAGTGCGTAGGAGAAGTGTTAGACTCGAGCTTGGCCAGACGAACAGAGTCCGTCGGCGGGGGCCGTCGTCGTGAAACATGAGTGTGCGTACAGAGATGCGGCATTCGAGTCGAGCCCAAGATTGAAGGATGGAGAAAAGACCTGATTCCTTCCTCGGTCGTAACAATTAGGATCGAACAAGAAAAGGAAGATTCATTGTTCTCAGGCACATAGGGAGCGTGCTGAATGTGGCAAGCCGAGACGAAACCTGTTCCCGTAAGATCATCTCAGCGCCAAAGCCTCAGGGTTGATTTGCGGGCTTGGATGGGCACTTGGCAACGGTGTGTCCTGGCTGACCGCAGAAGTGGCAGAGCTTGACATGTCGCCTGGGTAATGTCCCGTCTGGCCGCAAAAGTTGCAGCGCATAGTCTGTTGGCGCCATGTCCGCGACGATCACAACGACCACAGACGTTTTGGCCGCTGGTCGTCATTTCGTCGGGCTTGGACGAGATCACCACTGGGGTAAGGCCAACACGAGTACGTCCGGCACCAGACATTTGATTCTGTGTCGGTGTCAGGTTCGGTGGAAGGACCGCTTGCCCGGAAGGAGCAATGTTATTGGAAGCATATGGTTGTTGATACCGCTGTCCAAAAGACAAAGTCGCGGGCTGGACTGGAGCCGCTTGTTGATAGGCGAAGCCGTATTGTTGCGACGGCTGGATCGGGGCCGCATAATTGGGCTGAGTTTGACGACTCAAGGCGTCGACAAACCCTTGTTGGACTTGGTTCGAACGCTCGATCAAAGCGACGAACGCCTTTTGTTGCTGAGCATGGTTCGTCGTCATGAGTTCGAGAAGTTGCCGCATCGCCGATTGGTCTTCAAACTCGACATGAAACGCTTCGATCAGGTTGTCCACGTGGTCGCGAGGAGTACTGCTGCAGAACTGGCCCACAAAGCTGTCATGGATCTCAGACCAGACTTCACCGCCTTTCTTCTTGGAGTAGGCGATCCACCAGGCGTTCAGGGTAGTGGGAGTCTTGTCAGCCGAGAGCTTCAGACCGAGAAGGGACTTGCGTTCGTCGTCAGTCAGACCACCGCGGTCAGCTTGTTCCACGAGTTGCTTCATGAAGTGATCATGGGCGTCGACGACGGGATGGTAGTGTATTTCACAGCACGACCGAATGCTTGGTTCCTCGAGGACGTGTCGATAGCCTCCTTGCAGCCATTTCACTGGACAAGAGGGCAGTGAGCTCGGAAGGTAGCTGAAAAGGGTAGCCCGAGGATGGTTCGGGTGCTGGGATCGAAGCTTGGGCTAGACGGGACGAGAAGTCTAGACTGAGCTGATCAATGCGTGTTTCGAGAAGTAGCACGCGGTCTTGCAGAAGGGTCTTGTCGTGGACGAGAGACGAGACGCGTTCGTGTAAGAGCTGGTTTTCCTGGCGAAGCGCTTCCAGGCAGGGACGAGTGTCGTCTGAAAGAGCAGGTGGTGCAGGAAGTTGTTCGTGGAGGAGACGACCGAGAACTTGGATGTCACACGAGAGGCGTTCAACTTCGCGGGAGATACGATCTTAAGTTCAACTTGGATCGACGAAACGTCTTGAGTCAAAGTCTTGTTCTGTTCGGCCACTGTATCAACAGCGTTGCCGAGGTGGACAAGTTCGTCGGTAGCAGCTAACTTCCAGGCACGGGTAGACGAAATGGTTTCGTCCACTCTGTGCGAAAGGTCCGTGGTCGCAGCTTGGTGTTCGAGAGACGAGACTCGCAAGGTTCGGACTTGGGCTGAAACGTGGTCTGAAAAACTTTGGAGTGAGGTTCGCAGTTCTAGATTTGCAAGATCCGCACTGGACGGAGAACTTGCGACCAAATCCGACTCGATAATAGCTTGCATGATCGAGTTGTCATCCGTTTCCATTTCACCAAAGACGTCGAGAATGGATCAGATGGGAGGTGGTCGGTCAAGCTTCAAGATTGGCGGCATCGTCAACGACGGCCTTTCATCAGTTGCGTCGATCTCCATAGGTTCATCGTGACGAACGATAGGAGCCAGACCAAACGGTAGGTCCGGTTCAAATACCGTCAAGTGCTGATGACGTTCCACGATAGGTTGATGAATGGGCACCATGTCGAGTAGCGGACTAGGCTCGACATGGTCCGTGATGGCCTCCACACCCATGGATTCGTCTGGACGGGCAGACACGACGTGGTCCATCAGTTTGGGGGGAGTTCGAGATCTTGGATCAACGTGAGCGACAGGGACAATCCAAATGGTAAGCCAGGATTGTAGACGGCAGTTTCGTGAACGATGTCGGAAGCCGGCAGGAGCGACGAAGAGTCAAAGCGCGATCTCGTTGACGAGTAGTACGAGTCGTTCGAGTCCAAGCGCTCAATCGGACTTCTAGAGGTAAGCGGGACAACAGACTGGGTCAGCGTATCGTCGTCGTAGCTCTCGGTTAACATGGACTCGTCTGACTTGTTTTCGTCGGAGCAAGCTTCAGCCATATCGTTTGTGTATACAAGCTCTTCAGACGAACTTCACGGCTCCATGGATATAACACTCTCGTCGTCTAGGACAGAGGACAGTTCAGGATGAGCGGTAGTCGAGGTAGTATCGGCGGCCTCGTCCGAGTCTTCGTCCACTTTGCTTCGTTTCTCCAAGTTTCGTTGTTCGGGCGAGTTGGAGTGGTGTTGGATTCGGTAGTTGATGTCTCGCTTCAACTGTTTCTGGACAGGGGTGCCATGGGCAGGTACAGGCTGACTTTTACACTCTGTATCAGAGCTGCTGCTAAGGAGGATTGGTCGTCAGCCACGCACACGAGGTCAAGTCTTGTATCGGTCGGGGCTGGGACGGCTAAGGCGACATCCGTGTCGTCTGCAATTGCTTGGACGGGAGGTGGATCGAGAGGCCTTAGCCCACCCAGGTGTGCTGGTTTTCTTGGTTTGGCAGGAGAGTTACCCTGTTCCTCCACCATTTTTGTGACGGTCGTAGGGGTTAGACGCACAAAAGTTACGAAGGTCCGGAGGTTCGGACTTCAGGACCGGATACTCTCGGCTTGGCCAAGAACACAGCAGAAAGGAGTAGATCTAATGTTAGGCAAATGTAAAAGTGAACTATCTAAAAGCTAGAAAGCTGACAGTCGGTCAAATTCGAAGGTAGTCGGCCCGTCGAATGATATACCTTTGCGATGGTAGTACCACGATATGGTATAGTAGTATACAAGCCCATGCTCAGGCTCCATAACAATATTACACTAAGTGCAGTGCACTTACGGCTAACTACTGTAAGGAACATATGCATACTGTACGGTTAACTATTGTGGGGTATTTTTGAGTGTGGCCTATACTTGGAAACTGTATTGGAAATAATTGTATTGGAAGTTGCACGTCGATGATAATCCAAACTCAATTAACTATGAAATTTTATACTAGTAATACCTAGTAATACTTCAGGCCAAATAAGTGTTGCAGAAATTTGCGAACAAAATGGTATCCGGGCATGCTATTTCGACACAAATTATCTCGCGTGTTTAATGTCAAACTATTATTTTCGGTGAGTTTGTTGATGATGGTAATAACTGGTCTAAAACGGCCGTCGTCCCGAGGCTGGGGCTGGTAGCACGCCAGCCTTGGCTTCGTCCACATGCACCTTTCGGCCTTGGGTGTCTTTGAGCCGGCACAAGCCACCGTTTAGGTTGTACCACACAAAAACTTTGCATCCCGGTGTCTTTTTACATTCAGCGCAGCAGGGTTCAACAGTCGCCAGATTGACCGAAGCCAGGTCGCCGCCAATATAGTGCGTGTTGTCTTCCAAGGTGCCACACGTGCTTAGGTCGTCGGTCAGGTTCAGGACTTGGGTGGTCTCGGATGGCGGGGATGAGTCAGGCCGGGGAAGTCAGCAGCCACGGCGTTGAAGATGTTCAAGCGGCCGTGACCAAAGAGGTTGTTGGGATACTGCGTGTTGGGAATGCCACCGCAGGTCTTGTGGGGCGGATTTAACGTGTTCGTGTCCGCATTCTCGGTCAGGGCCCTGTATACTTGGTCGTACGAGGCGCCATTGTTGGCAGACAAGTACAAGGCGATGGCTCCAGAAACATGAGGCGCGGCCACGCTCGTACCCGAGGCCCTGATAAAACTATCGTCGCTGTAGTGTCTTGAGGTAGGGATGCTTTCACCAGGAGCAGAAATGTCGGGTTTGATGAGTGTATTGTTAAAGACGGAAGGTCCCAAACTTGAACTGAACGCCAAAGTATCGTAGGCGTCAGTGTTGCCGACAGCAATCACTTGAGGGGAGATGCCAGGATAACCTGAATACGTACAGCCTTGATGACCGTGGTTGCCGATCGCAAAAACGGGAATGATTCCCGCTGCTCGCCACTTTGCAATGATATCTTCCAAATAAAAGTTTGAGGTGGGATATCCAAAGCTGCCGTTGATCACATGAGGGGCCTTGCTGGGGTCGCATTTCTTGCCGTCGTTGTTGTGGGGACAAAGCAGGAATTGAGCGCATTCCACCACCTTAAGACCTTCCAAACCATGGTTGAGCCCTTTGCACGCAATCCACTTGGCTTTGGGGGCGACACCAATACCTTTCGTTCCCACCATAATGCCCATGACAGAAGTGCCGTGCCCATCGTCGTCGTCGGGCAGCTTGTTCGTCTTGTTGTACGGGTCGAACCAACCGTATTCTCTTTGCCAGTTCGACTCCAACGACTCATGGGTATGGCGAACACCGCTGTCGATGTTGGCCACGACAATGCCGTCGCCCTCGATGCCATTGGCCCATAGCGCCGGCGCTTGGATCTTCTTGACCCCCATGAGATGTCATCATTGACAGCACTTAAGTTACGACCATTTTCAAGGCAACGAACGTGGATTACCAAGAAAACTATGGGACTACAGCGATGCATTGCCATGATGGTGGCAAATTTCCGTGGCCTTGCCGCAGCGTGGTACCAAGAACGGCTTTCGCGCGGTGAGTCTCCAAACAC